TTTTTTTTTTTTGTCCTTTCTGTAGATTTCTTGTCATTGGTAGATTTTGATTGAAATTGTTGGGTTAATTGAAATAGGTTTTGGGTTCTATAAATTTATGTTTATAGCAAAGTGGCATGCTGATATATGACTGAAAATATTAAAGTTGGGTGTGAGGATATATGGGTGGTGGATAAAGTAAATGTCAATGAATGAAGTTAATCATGTATGACATTTCTCTATTTGATTTGTTTCAATGTATGAAGTTTTCTGTAATTTGAGAACTATATTGTGAGATCATGCTCTAATTCTTCTTTTTTTATTTGCAGATTTATATCTTTTCACCATCATTTTATTTATATATTTTTTCCTTTTGCAGGTTCTCTATGGTCCTTTTTATGCTCATTTTTACAGGGTTTCTATGGAAATATAGTTCAATGGTAAAATTTCTCTTTCACTAATTTTATTTGTTTATAATCTTAGCTTTTTTTTTTTTTTTTTCTTTCTGTCATTTTGATTTATTTACAGGGATGATGGAGGAGACTTCAATTGTGCATCATTTGTATGTTTCGATGAGGAAGGCTTGGATTAGGAGTATGTAGGTCTTGTTAGGAAAAGCTTGTACTACTTAATTACCATGTATCAATTGAATATTTATATTTCATTGGTAGGAAGTATGTTTGTTGTAGACTAAAGATTGGTTAACCATGTAATAACTATTGAATCTTCAAGTTTTATGAAAGAAACTATTTTTGAGTGTATATATTCATTAACAAAGCATTACGGTTGGTTTTCTAGTTAAAATCGTTGTATAGCATCATAGGAAACCAAAAAGAACTAAAATGTAATAGCTTGGGAACTTATTAGACGATAGTTTTTATAATAAATCGTGGTCTTTATAAATAATTAATAGTTTTTATAATAAATCGTGGTCGTTATAAATAATTAACGACGGTTTTTATAAAACAACCGTCGTCTATACAAATAATTAACGACGGTTTTTATAAAACAACCGTTGTCTTTCCTCCTATAATTAGCGATCTTTACCTCTAAACAACGACGGTTTTTCTTAAAAACCGCCGTCTTTATAGGAAAACAACGACGATTTTAAGAAAAACTGTCGACTTTATAAATAATTAATGACGGTTTTTATAAAACAATCCACAACGGTTTTATTAAAAACCGTCGTCTTTCCTCCTATAATTAGCGATCTTTACCTCTAAACAACGACGGTTTTTCTTAAAAACCGTCGTCTTTATATAACAACAACGACGGTTTTTTTTAAAAACCGTCGTCTTTACAGTAAACAACGACAATGAAAATCCATCATAGTTTGACACCCAAAAAGATGGCGGTCGATTTAACGACAGTTTTCAAAGCATTACAACAACGGTGGATCCCCGTCGTCTATTTCATTTTTTGTAGTAGTGATTCATCCAGCTCCTAAACAAAACAGGCAGAACTCAGACTTTTGACTCCAGTTCAGTTCAGAGAAGCAAATCAAGCAGAACTCGGGTTTTTCATAATATGAAAACCTCAACAAATTTACAGAAAGGCCTTAATCTCTC